TTTTCTACATAGTTTTGCTGTAGAGCTTTAAGGTCTATGCAGAGCCATCATAATGGCCATGGTCCCTCTCTGAATTACACAAAACTAAATAATTTTAGATAAAGATGAGAATGAATCCATGTGTGCTTGCTCTAGACTTTGCTCTACGTTGCAAGGTTAAATGCTTTCTTGGGTATGGGTTTTGCATATATAGGCACGGTTCAATCCCACCTCTAAATTACCTGTTATTTTTTGCTGGTAGTTTCAAACCTGCTTCTGTTCCTCAGCTCGTTACACATAAAGGAGAGCTGGAATGTGCCCTTAGAGAGTTGTTCTTAAACTTTACCCCATCACTATCCCAGTTCCAGCTGAGCTCCACTCTAATGAGTTCCTGACCACATCCAGGAGTGAAAGGAGGAGAATTTCTGTTGTTCTGAGATCCCACTCACAAGTCATAGAATCATTAAGGTTGGAAAAGACCACTAAGATCATCAAATGTGCCATCCTCCTTTGGGGCTGCACCTCTCAATTTAGGAATCACTTCTTGAGCTGTCCAAAGCAATAGTCTATGGAATTTACATGTCAGAAATTTAGAAATCAGCTTAACTGATGGTATTTTGTATTAGTTTAATATTATTTAATCAACAAATATTAATGATGCTGCTTGTGATTTGAAATTGTAAAGGGAAAAGGAGAACTATTAGGTGACTGAAGGGAGATGTAAAATAAAATGATCTCTGCAGGTGATTTACAAGCACTGAGATGTAGAAAGATGAGATTTGCTAAGCTTTAGACATGGTCTGGGCTTTGAGTGATTCCTTCCTGCTCATGACTTTCTCGGGATGGTTCTGAACACGATACAGAAAAACTGTTTCTCTGTTTAGCTACCCCACTGGTATCTGAACTCTGGTCCTTGAGATGGTACAGGAAGAAACACCTTCGTTTTATGGTCTTTGCAGGGTTAAAAAATCTACTGACTGGAGATGTTAATTGAACTTTTGTGTGGAAGAGAGAGAGGCAAAGGCAGAAACCCCTTCTGCTAGGAGGAGGGACATGTCTTATAAGCTACTGGCTCTGAATGGGCATGGATCATAACTAATAGTTGTGACAGAAGATAATAAAAGAGATAGATAAAAAGTAACCAATACTTAACCACATTTCGTTGTCATTTCATCCATCCTCCTCACCATAGAACAAAAGTAAAAAAAGTCAACTTTAGCATCATGTCCAAGTCAAGGACTGATTTTAGCAAGATTACAACTCTTGAAGGAATTAATTTCCCCAAAATATCTATTGTGTAGTCACCTGCTACCATTAGGACATGATTTGAATAGCTTGCAGGTGCTTTGAAGGCCTACTACAGAAGGACGATGTCCCCCTTCCAGCGCGTGACACAATTTTATTATGTGCTTGTTTGTGATACTTAAAAACATGGAGATACTTGAAGATTTTAATGGCTGATGAGCTTCTGGTCTCATATGACTGAGGAAGTACTGCTTTTTGCTGCGATTAATCTTTATATGTTATAGACACCCAGTATAAACCAGGCTCAAAGTATCCAAAAAGCCCAAGTCATTATCAGGGCAAAATGTCATATTAGAAATATAGAGAGAGGCGGGGTTAAAACTGGGCATCTTCCTTCTGCTTCACCATAAAAGAGTTTCCTGACATATGCAAAATGGAAAACTAGAATAAATCACTGTAAGCTATGAGATACTTGTTATATTTGTACATTTTTTCAAGTTGCCAATTCTCAGAACTGATTTCTTTTCAACACTGAACGTCAGACTCTACCTTCTTGAGCTCCTATACAACTCTGGCAGTATTCAGTGAGTTTTTTTCACATGTAAGATCATAAAAAAACTGACCCAGGCTGTGTCTAACACCAGTACTGCTATTTTTTAAAAGGGATAGTAAGATTTTTTCCCAGGTGGTCACTTTGCATAGCACAGAATAACATGAGTTCTGGTGGGATGGGAATGAACACTCTTGCATGGCCAGTGAACACAAGCTTGTTGTTGGATCATGCATAGGCAGCAAGGCAAAACACAAATGTTACCAAAAAAAAAAAAAAATCAGCACTTACATGATGATGGTTTTCTTGGGCACTTTAGTCTCTTGTTCAGTGACTACAAAGAAAACAGTATGAACAGCATGGTGTTAAAGAAAGGCAAAAGCTGAAATGATTAAATTAACTTTGCTCAGTTAATCAAAATAAACTGGAGTGAAAAAAGCAACTGTACCATCCCATCCATGCTTTCTGTGGTTATTTCCAGCATCATCTGTAATGTGTCTGACCAAGAAGGAGAATTCAGAGTGCTCTCTGAGCAGTGAATGGTGTAGCTTTGAAATTAAGTAATTTGTGGAGAACAATATTGCAAAATCTGTTCATTCTTCCGTGAGATTCTGACATTTTGATTTGGCAGGTCAAAGCTAGAAAACAAGGTCCTTTTTTAAAATTTCTTTTCCCCCCTATAATAAGGTAGTGATGGTGTGAGAAACCTGAAAATGCCTTGATCTGGAAAATCCTGGAGAGCTGAAATTCTTTAAACTGTGATTTCACTTACTAGAAAAAGAGTTTCCCCAAACACTGAACAGTTTCCAAGCTTTTGTGGACTAGATGCAAAATCCAAGCAGATAACAATGAAAACTAAAATTGTTATCATCCGTACAGAAAATCAGCATGAAAAAAAGAACCCCTAGGAAACCCAGGAGAGCCCTGTAATACACCTCCATCTCTTTTTTGCTACTATAATGTGCAATTTTTCCTGACCCTTGTCCCATAAAAAAACTAGAAGCTGTTGATGCCTATGAAGATCAAAAGAAAAGTAATGATTTAATGATTTTGCAAATATTTCTTAAAATTGATATTTTAAAACCAAGAAAGATATAGTTTGAAGAGCTAATAGAGATTTTTGGCAGGTTCCCATCCAATCTGCTGGAATAAAGTTCAGACACTGTTTGAACCAGGCTGTTTTGAACAAACTCTGAACTGCTGAAACTATCTGAGATGTAGAAAAAACAACAGCAAGCCCCACTTCAAAAAAACCCCTTCATTTAATCTCAAAGTCATTTTTCCAGCAACTGGTTTGCAATCTTCCATCCAGCCCATAATAAATAAGCTC